TGAACTATGTACTCATTGTGTGAAATATCTATCTATCTATCTATCTATTTATCTATCTATGCATATGCACCATAATTCAGAGTGTTTGTGTGAGAGCGTGCCCGCACTACTCTTTGCAGCGTCCGCTGGAGCTTCCACGCGCGTTAAAGTTTACAACGGCCACTGGAGCCAGCACTCTGCGTCGTGCAAAAACAGTCGTTCGATGTACTGCAAATGCTTTTTTAGCGCGCCGCGCGTTGGTACCTGTTGAAGATGCTCTAACAGTCTCGGGAAGATCTAATAGGCGGTCTAAGCGTGGGGTTCTATTCCGCTGCTGCCCTTTTGACGCCAGTACGCAACAGTGTCGGGCTACAGCGACGTGACACGGTCATACCTTCTTTCTTCACCACTTGCACAATGGTCTTGAAAAGGAAGAGGATTACTGGATAAAAATGTTGCGTCTCAAAAAACAACAACATGGAATGCTACAGAGACTAGATACTCGGACTACTAAGGCTTGATTAAATAGCTTGCAATCTAGGGTTTACATAGATGTACTTTCGAAACTGGTAGAGAATAGGGAAAAATTATATCCCTCCCGCTTGCCCTCCCAGCCTAATCCAGGGCATGGCCAGCGCGTCGCCTCAGCCAGCTGCCACGCAGGCCAAGTTGACTCGGATATAAGGGGGGATGGTTACTGTTATCTGAATGACCTCGTAAAACAGCATGCTACTTTTGCCTTTTCGGAAGGCGTCTTGTGCAACACAGTAATGTGCAACACAAATTGTCTGGAGACACATCAGCAAAAATGCATAGACTTTTTTGAATGGTCAAGTTAACGTCATTTTTTTTTTGTAAAGGACGCTAATAACTTCAAATACAGCATTGACAGGATATAAAGCATGAGAGCAAACTCCAGCCTTTTCATATCTAAGATGCACACAATCAACATTAATAGTAGTCTGATAAAAATAAAATAAAGATCCAACATATCAACAACTCAAGAGTCATATGACCAACAATATGCCTATGTAGAAGGAGAGCAATTTTATGTTGGGGTAGAAACCTTCATGGCCACCCACTTCAATCGCATACACACCATCTTAAATAATGGTTGTCACTTCATTTGATGTAGCACAGACCACGCATGAAATGAGTGTGCACAGTGAAGAATAACCTACAGAGGAGAGCAATTTTTGCCATCAAAAAACAAATTATTCTACATAGACAAAGCGACCAAGGCATACGTTCCCACCTTTGTTAGCGTTTAAAAACTATTTGAAATCCTGTCCAACCAATGACCAAAAATATTGGCTACACTTATGGCCGGATACAAATTAGACGCTACTTGGATGCCTGATCATGTAGAACGCGCAAAATTTGCACTGAAAAAAGAGGTGTCGGATTGTGTCTCATCAGCACAAAAACTATACTTCTTCCTTCCTTGCCAGTTGCCGCGGATGAGGTTGTCTTACGTTAGCACAACTCCTCTTCAAAAATACCACATGAAGATTTTAACTTTTAGTCGAATCTCCGGCTTCTAAAATTTCTTGTTAATTGAACATCATAGTTATCTGAGAAACAAATGTAACATTTTCATAAGGTTTGAGCCATGAAAAAAATAAAAGAATTAAGTAGTACATGAATAAAATCTTGTTCTTTCAATTCACACACTCTATTAGAACTATATATATCTCAACATGTTTTTTTCTTCTTGAATCATGGAGAAATATACTGGAAAGTTATAGAAATATTCAAGAATGCTCCCTCAGTTCGAAAACAGCCCCGCTCATAGCAAGCATCTTTGGCTATTTCTTTTCTATGCAAAAAAAATCAGATTTATTATTAAAGATCATCAAATCAGAAGTATAAAGCACCTCAAACATAATAAAAAGCAAATCAAAAGCTCGAGACCACAAAGCAACCACTACCTCCACCATGCGTCGTTGTCACCGCTCCCTACCGGAGCCGGCTTGACCTTGTTAATGACAACTGGCGGGTCTTCATGCACGTGCCCCTAAGTACCAACGCCCTAGAGCCGCACTCGCCGCTGTTGAACTCTTGAATAGATTTGGTGCAAATGACACAAAATCTCGATTTCGCGCATGCACGCCGACAAATCCTAATCTCGCCGCCCCAAGGAGACGACAAGAATCTACGCCGAAACTTCGTCGACTATGTCCAAAACTCCAGATGGACGAACTCGAGGAAGATCGGAGCCTGGAAAACAAACTCAAAAAAGAAGCGCCGCCATGCACCCGAGAACCGCGCCTGCAAGGACTACAATTCTAACCTAAATTAATAGGTGAAGCAAAGGCACCGGAATTCCCCTCCCAGCCACCGGCCGTCGGAGCGACATGCAGAGCAGAGGCAAATCAACGGGCTCGCCGGCGAAGCCTGCAGGGGAAAGTTTGCCCTAACCGCCGAGGGGAAGGGGAGAAAATTATATGTATGTATGTTGGTACAAATTGTCGAACATGTGTCATAAAAATAATACTATTATTTACATCTAATGATATTATTCTTTACATCTATTCTTGGTATGGAGAAATGTGTGGGAGGCGACAACTTCGGCGCCTATACCGGTCAGGCTCTTGTAAGTTGACCTTTCATTTCTACCTTAATAAATTGACACACAGATCTTCGTGTTGTTCTTGAAAAAAATAATCTTATTATTCAAAATATTCTTTAATATATGTAGTCAAAATCTAGAACTTTGACTACAGGACTCTATTTTTCGCGGGGTTTGACTACAGGACTCTAGAAAGTATGCAATATGAATTCTCTAACTTTCACTATCAATATGTACATTAAGACACTTATTTTAGTATGGAGGGAGTATTACTTGCCATGATTATTTATATAACTGTAGTAAATTCTTAAAAGATTGAAAAATATTAATGTAAAAAAGGTCAATGATACATTTTGAAGACTATATGTTTATGTCCTTGATTTTTTTTAAATACGAAGAGTCAAAATTTAAAACTTTGACTACAGTGTTGTCATCTGTATTGGAAAAGGAGGCAGTACCATACCAGAAAACATGTAGTCAGAATTCTGATAGTATCATCATATTTGTGATAATGATTTTGTAACTACTAAATTCTTATAAGATTGAAATATTATTAGAAGAAGAAGAGTAAAAATACATTTTGAAGACCATGCCTATGTCAAACCTTGAGTCTTTTTCCTACGTTCAAGGGGCAGGTAGAGGAAAGTCTACTGTCGTTTTTCATATATAAGAAACACGGTGAAACTTACACTTTGAAGACTATGTTTATGTCAAACCTTGAGTCATTTCAAAATACGTTCAAGAGGCCGGTAGAGAAATGTATGCTATCGTTTTTCATATAAGAAAAAGATCAATGTTACAAGTGCATATTTCAACCCCGAACTCACATCCTAATTTAATTTATAACCCCAAACTCTAATAATGTCTACACTACAACTCAAACTCTCAAAACCGGACAACTTCCAACCCTGTCCCCTCAAATATTGAAAAAAAAAATCTAGAAAATGAGCACTAACATGCTGATAATTCTGGGAAACTCTCAAACTTTTTTTGCCAAGCATAATAAAATATACATATTCAAGATTGATCAAAATTTGACCAAAAATGAAAGTGTTCAGAAAAAATTGAAAACATTCTCAAAAATTAAAACTACCATGCTGATTGTTCTCGGAAAGTTTGAAACTTTTTTGCCAAACATATAATAAATACAGACCAGAAAACTGGTTTGACGGACACAAGGTTGAAAGTTGTCCGGTTTTGAGAGTTTAGGGTTTTAATGTGAGCGATATTGGAAGTCGGGGTTGTAAACTAAAATAGGGAGATTGAAAGATGCACTTATCTGTTTTGAAAACTCTGTTTAGGTCAATCCTCGAGTCTTTTCGTAATACCACAATACATTTAAGGGGCAGGTAAAGGAATTTCTGTTCTCGTTTTTCTTTAGGGAATGTTGCTCACTACTTTTACTCCAATATTCCTACTCGCTGGTTGTAAAGGTTAGGTATTTAGGTTCTGCAACTGTGGAAGCCAACTGTGGTCGCGTGCCAAAGCAGGCTAGCCGCCCGAACGGCCATGGAAGTGAGACACTACTCCACACAAGACACAACAATCTAAGACATAATCTAGACACTACGGCCATGGAAGCTACAATCCCTAAAGAAAAACGAGAGCAGAAATTCCTTTGCCTGCTCCCCTCGAACCTGTCAGGAAAAAGCTCATTCTAGGAACCTCCTTGCAAAAAGATGAGTAATGTTTACTTACTGTATTTCAAAAAAAAAAATTGTTTATTAACACCAGTACGTTCTCGCGGCCGTAGCATACATCTGTTTCACCTGTATACACAATACACTGATTCTCGTAGTCACTAGCAGCTCAATGTTCTAGCCAAACGCCTGAATCGGAAAATCCACTTGCACAATGCCACAATCATATACACGAAACACTGATCCTGTTGCTCTTTTTAATGAGATTTCTGAACTCGGTCAGCTCTGCCCAACGCCCAAATTCTTGGCTCCAAGACTCAACATGCGTAACCTATATCGGCATCCTGCAGGAATCAGATCGAAAAAAAAATCCAGTAGTGTCAGGGGCAACAAAAGTCCAGATGATCATTAAACATCAAGTAACAGATGTGTAACACCAAGCTGTTTTAACTCTTTACATTAAGTTGGGTGAAAATCTAGCCTCCACAAAAGCTTCAGTGGTTCTGTCAGCAAGACATTATTTAAGTGCATACTAGAAATTGACAGGTTATGGTAACCTACTTTGCTATCTTTGTAAAGAGCTACTATATTTCAACATCAACAGCCCTCAAAAGGGCATTGCTGAAGATATATATAACTATTTCACTAAATCTGGTGACATCATGCACTAGTGATCAACTGCATATGTACTTATGCAAAAAGACAACAGACATTCTATACTTGGACTATACTTCTTCAAGAGAGAATAAGGCCTACTTGTCCATGAGTCTTGGCATTATGCTGAAACTGGTGGCGACGAAGAGCTATTACTAGCCATGACTTCTGGGATCAGCAACTTGATGGACTTTTCTGAATTCTGCGCTCGAGTATTGACCAACGGCTCGTGCATGAGGTATCGTTGGATCGCCAGAAGACAGAGCAACCACATTGTCGAGAAAATATTGTCTTGGAAGCTTCCCAACAACATTGCCTTCCTCATTTCCTTCCTTATCCAGAAAGGCAAAATGAGGAATACCTTCTACCCCAAACTCATCAAGCTCTTGTTCCCACTTTGTATTGTCGACATTCAACATGACAAAGTTGATACGGTCCCTACAAAGAATTGTTAACACAAGTTAACTAGCATCTAAAGAAACATAAAATGTGTTCATTGGTTCAGTCAGTAGTTGTATCCAAGTTGTTGATACAATGGCTTCAGATATGGAGATTCAGCAAGCATTTTACTACCAGGACTACTACTCTTATAACATAATGTACATTTATGTTTACTTCCAAAAAATTGAAATGCACAAATGTACATATATGCATATGCACCTGGATGCAGATCAGAATTGAATTATTGGCTCCTAGACTCACTAATGACTGTGGTCCATCAGTACTTTATAGGAAGAAAATACATTAATAAATTAATTAATCCAGAACTTTAGTATTCTGTAGCCCGGCAAGTGTATGATACTGCATGCACTTATACAGGATTAGTGTAGCTGTCCAGCTACAAAGTTGTATTCAATGGAAGGTGCACATTTTAGGATCAGTAAGAAATACACATCAATTCTTCAGTGAAGGAACCAAATCATAGTTCTTATTTCTATGGGATATAGAGAAGCTAAAAATGTTGAAGTAACTTACTTGTACTGTTGCTCAATTTTGTAAATATCTGGAGCTAACTCTCGACAAACTTCACACCAGTCTGCGTAAAATTCGACAACAGTGGGCTTGCCATTTGAGAGAGCCTGTAGATGCACTTATCAGGTGAATTAGATTTCGAAGGCGAACATGCATGCAATTCAAAGAAAAAGTATGCGAACGAAATGCAGTTTGTGCAACCAGATAAAGACGAGTTTCAATCATAATAGGGTTGCTTGTCAATTTCACATGAAAGCTATTCAGTGTACAGAATCTATGAGTACTAGTTTACCAATGGGCACCTCGTACCGCAGCAAATTTTCACATAAAGCAGTACTAAATCAATGAACCACAGATAAATAAACCCATCATTTTCTACCATCTTCTCCAGAAAAGCCAACATCTTGAAAATTGAGTAATACAAACATTAGTGTAACTCTGTAAGAAAGCATGTCTTGGATTAACGGACAAATGGGCCGATGAACAATGATTGGATGTTCAACTTAATATGCTCTATGTCGAATGGTAGAGACCCACGACAGAAACTAGATGAGTTTAATGTTATAAATTGACTCATAGAAAGTTCTGATGAAGTCTGAAGAAACGAAGCATGGCTACAATGGCGTGTCATAAAGAAGGAGCACTTTCTTGGATCTATTGCAATGGGTTTTAACTCTACCATGAACTGAACTGCAATGGATCATGCTTTGTTGTTCACATACTGCAATTGTAAGCATCAAATCTAGCAACTAAATTACCCATATCTGTAGTATTATATAATAAATGACAGAGAAACTTCCTTTTGCTGCTGACATTTAGCTGAACATTATGCATCAGATATCTCTTTGTCCAGTGTAGGGGTGGGCAGAAAACTCCTTGCTGCAAAGGAAAGAAGCGCTAACCTCTTCATATGGCACAGCATTAGCAGCAAGATCCTTGAGAGAAAACCCGCCAAGTTGGAGCCTCTGAGATCCAAAGAGGCCCACTGCTGCAAGAGTGGTGAGCACAGCTATCCTTCTGTTGAGACCCCTGTCTGGAACAGGTGGCTCGGCAGCAGCCTCCTGGGGCGTGCTGCTGCTGCTGCTGCTGCTTGGCTGAGGCTTTTCTTCACCCAGCTCAGCTTTGACGTTCTGCTCGTCCTGTGGCAAGGGGGGGCAGGAATGACTTCACATGCTATATTGCTATCTGATTGGAAATTTTACTGGTGTTTTATGAGCATGAAGCTAAAGAAGCGCTAGCTAGTCTATCCACTGCCCCAAATGGCCAAATCAGTTTGAGTGTGCTACGAGGACTCACCGTCTTCGGCTCCGCGGAGTCGGGCGGCGCGACGCAGGACAGGGTTCTCGGCCGGCGACGGCCCCCGCGCAGATGGACGCGGGGCGAAGAAAGCGGAGGCGACCGGCTGCGGAGTCCTGCGAGGCCCGGCCGCAGGTCCGGGAGGAGGAGGCCGGAGCACCTCGAGGTCACACTCGCCATTTTTCAGTTACGTTCCGGGATGGCACAGCACGGGGGAGGGAGGGACGAACTGACGACGAGCCGACTGGGTGCCGGGTCAAACGAGATGATGATGATGTGGGTGGAGCACACGGCGCCACGTCGCCCGTAATCGTGCGATGCAAAAGGAGCGTGCACGTTTTTCTTTGATTTTTTCGCAAAAGAAGGTGGGGTATCTTCTTAATAAATAAATTGAACAAAATTTATATGTTCTATACCTATCGATTTTTTACATAGAACTAGAAAAGTGCCCATACATTGTAACATAGTCATATATTCCAGTGGTTTTTTTTCCGCAATAGATCATGTAAGTACATATTCCAGTGGTTAATATCAGTTGTGCCAATCATATACTCCCTCAGTCTCAAAATAAATGTCTCAACCTTAGTAATTATACTATCTTAGTAGTTATACTAAGGTTGAGACACTTATTTTAATACGGAGGAAGTATGTACTTACATGATCTTGATGCACATCCCGCATATACCCGTATCATTCACTATCCCATTGCCACCTTCGCTCTTGGGATATGAAGGCTGTGAAAAAATAATGTCTTCTTAAAACATCCAAATAAATTACAGGCCCATGAAACTGAAAATGGTACTCCCTCCGATCGGAAAAAAGTGTTTCAACTTTGAACAAAGATTGAATCATTTTTTTATTAAAACAACATCTAACTTAAGCATAACCTATTAACGTTTCATATTTCTAAATAATAGTAGGACTTTGTTGTTATTTCTATGCTTACATTGGTTAATATTCTTTTGTGTCATTTAGGCCATGTAATAAATTTTATTGAAAAGCTACCATGCAATTCTATTTTATATTGTTTTCAACTATTCAATGGTAGCATACATCAAATTAACATATATCGATTTGCTTATTTAAGCAAGCAAATTCTTCAGAAGAAGAAAAAACTCAGGAGGCGGTCTGTTACCTGAAAATCTGGGACACAATATTTTGTTTAATATTCTTTTATATCATTTTGGCCACTTCATAAATTTTATCGAAATGCTACCATGCAGTTCAATCTTATATTGTTTTCAACTATCTAATGGTTGCATGCATCAGATTATTATATACAAAATATATATATTATTATATATAGTACTGATTTTCTTATTTAAGCAAGCAAATTCAGAAAAGAAATTGGGGGAGATAGCCCAACATAATTTACATGATTAACTTGAAATCACTATGCATGGCACGCCACAAGCAAGAAGAAACGCTCCCCGTCTATCTTTCTTCTTCCCTAGTTCAGTAGCACAACGTCATCGACAATGGAAAAGGGCAACAACATTCAATTCATGGCAATGCACATCCAAATGCATGGCATGTCATGTTAAGGTTGCTATAATCTCCGAAGGACTCCTTTCCCGTTGCGTTCGCAGATCTTTCCTGGATTAGGGAGTGGCAAGCCACAATTCAATACACTCTGCAGAGGTGCGCTACTATACCCATGAATGATTAACTTAGCCCTTTTTACTAGTCCGTAACCTTGCACACCCATGATGTGTGGCTGGGTCTAAGATCCGAGTCTTTCGCTCGTCTATTTTTACCAATGCCCCTGCCCATGGCTCGAGAGGTATTCCCTCTTTTGCCCAAAATCAGCAACATGTAGGGATTCTACGGCCCCGTAACCGATGAGCTTACATCGCTATGGCGATAGAGGATTGACGCCCCCTGCCGAAAGGGTCTTAATGGAACCCATTGCCGATGGGTTGTACAACTCCCTAGACTGCCTCACAGATTGACGCCCCATGACGATAACCTATGCGAGGGCACATCGGTATGAGGAAAGGTAGTTATTCGCCTGTCCCATTCCAGGCTCCGTGGTCAACGCTATCAGTATGACACTAGAATATATGTTGACTTTGGTTATTAAACCCGGTGTAACGGTGTAATGGAACTCTACCACCGTGTAACCATCCTCAGTTCCATCACCCACCATAATTTATAGTACCAAACATAATTTTATTTAATGCAATGAATAGATACTGTAAGCAGGGGATTTTTGAAATATGCTTTTACGAAAGCATAAACAAAGGATATGCAAGGTATGCACTTGCCTGGTGATTGATAGGTAGCATAACTCGATGCTTCGAGACTCATGGTTGCCTCGGGTTTTGAAAATGACATATAGTCCGATAAGGATTGATGTTGCAAGAAACTCTGCAAGATGCTATTATGAATACATGAGATGGTTTTCCTCCCCTCTAATCGTTGTGTTGCCTTATTTGTGTTTTAGTTAAAGGATTTCCATTAATTCAGATTATTGTCAACTCTTATTTCTAGAATTAACAAGTTTATAATTAGAAATTGTTTGTGAAACTATTTTTATTAGAGTAGAATCATTGTTTTGGAATTAATGAATATTTGGATTGATTTCTCGAATTATTGAATATTTCCTTATTTAATATTTAAGTCTAGAAATTATAAAATTAGTTCCATTAAATCAAGAATATTTCTGGTAAAGTGGAATATTATATATATATAAATTTTTTGCACTTATTATATATTTGTAGTATTTTCTTGTTTACGATTTTGTTTGTTAAAAGTTTTTACTGGGTAAATGGGCTTAATGGGCTGGCTTGGCTTCTGGGATGGGCCTAACTGGCTTGGCCTGGCTTTGTTAAACAGGGACAGAGTCTCTGTCGACTTCTCGCCTGGTTAGTCACCCTCTCTCTCTCTCCCTCCCTCCCTCTATCTATCTATGGGGTTAGGAGCTGAGATCCTCTACAGTACTGTACGGTGCTGTAGTGTGGATGACATATGGGGCCGGGTCCACCTGTTAGTGACTGTACTGTATCGTACAGTACTGTAGAGGATCTCAACCCCTATCTATGTATCTACCTTTCTCACCAGAGCTCTCTGTTTCTCTCTCGTCTGCTGATCCCCTTTCTCCGACGGCTTTGCCAGTTGATTCTGACAAGCTCCGACCATCTCCGCCGTCGTGCTGAACCTCTAGTACTTGCTCTCCTTGCTCCGCTCTATCGATCTATCCACATCGTTTTCTCAATTGCTTCCTCCTACCAACAATCCCTTGGGATCTTGGTGACCTAGGGTTTTTGCCCCGAGTTGCCTCGGTCTCCGGTGGTGCTCCGGCCGCCGTGAGGTGCCCCTAGCGTCACTAGTGGCTTATCGCAGTGTGGTGATGCCCTTGGGTGGCGTCTCCATGCGGTGGTGCCCCTGAGATGGCGTCACCGTGTTCGTGTGCATGCACTGGTCGTCGTCGTGGTGCTTCAGCGATCCCTGACGCTCTTCTGCATCGCATGGACATGGTGGTGGTCACACCACAGCCGTGGTGTGGCTGGGTTTCTGCTACGACTCCAAATTCTCCTCAGCGAGCTCTTCCCCCTCTCCTACCTCGGATCTAGGGTTTATCCCTTATTGTTTGATGTTGGTATCCTTTGTGATGATCCTCATTGGTGTTGTTTGAATATTCTATACCTATTGGGGTAAGCCTGCTAGTTGTTGTAGTAGTTCAAATTGAACTACTATGCCTACTATCTAATTCTGAATTGTCTGAATGTTACTATTAAGTCTGAACTTAACTGAATTCAGTTGGGTTTAAGTTTCTGGTGAGGCTTGGGGTTAGTACTAAGTGTGGTAGTTGATCCTGATTCTTACTTATATTGGTTCTAGTCCATCTTGACTTGGCAAGTAGCTCCTGTTTGCTAGGGATTTTGTGGTTGTGTATACTAAAGAATTCTTCAGGTAAAGTGTTAACTAGCCTCTATTAAATACTGACAGTGTTGTATGTTTAATTTAAATATAATTCAGATATAATCCAACAATAATTTCTACTTCTGGCTTACTCTGAACTATGTATTTGAGTATATAAGTCCTATTGTTCACTTTTAGGTGTTGTTATATACTTAATTATTTCAGTTAAGTTATTATAGCTTTTTTCCTTTCCATTAGTCTATTTAACTTTGTGCTGCACTTTATATTATTACTCTGGTGTTGTGTATGCACACATACAGTTACATTTGTATAATTATTGATGCTATATATGCAGTAATATAACTAGCCCAAGTGTTGGTGGATGCTGGTGTTACTAATTGCAGGAAAATACCAAGTGTAAGTGTTGTGCAGGTGTTTTGCTATTGTAGATCATTATGGTGTTCAACCATGGTCTATTTCTTCTATGCTATAATCTCTCCTCTCCTCAAAACTAAGAAGAACATATACTCACTTGCCTTGGCTTCCTCTCTCTTTATCTCATGTCTATCTTTCTTTCTCTCTTCTCTCTCTACTAGAACTTCTAAGAACAGATGCTCCATGGTATTGTCTGCCTATGATGCTGGTCTTAGGCTCTCATTGGGATCTAAAGATACTATAGATGCTCAAATAATCCCTAAAAATACAATGATATAGGGCATATCAACTCTATGCAATCTTGAGGGTTCCTTCCACCAAATCCTACCTCTAGGTGCTGGGTAGCTTGGTCTTGAGGACTCCGCCAGAACTTTCTTCTTGAGTTGTGCCTCCTCCTCCTTATTGCTTCAAACTATCTTCTTGGTTTGAATTTGGTCCTGCTATGTCTTGAGCTTGCGTTGGTTTTCCCCGAAGAGGAAGGGATGATGCAGCAGAGTAGCGTAAGTATTTCCCTCAGTTTTTGAGAACCAAGGTATCAATCTAGTAGGATCCCACGCTCAAGTCCCTTGTACCCGCACAAAGCGATAGCTACTCGCAACCAACGCGATTAGGGATTGTCAAGCCCTTCACGGTCACTTACGAGAGTGAGATCTAATAGATATAATATTTTTGGTATTTTTGATATAAAGATGCAAAGTAAAAAGTAAAAGCAAAGTAAATAGCAAAACAATATAAAAGTGATGGAGATTGATATGATGAGAATAGACCCGGGGGCCATAGGTTTCACTAGTGGCTTCTTTCAAGAGCATAAGTATTCTACGGTGGGTGAACAAATTACTGTTGAGCAATTGATAGAATTGAGCATAATTATGAGAATATCT